TCTCTACATAGGAGAGTGGTGCAATGAAAAGAAAGACTCTCTCTACATCGGTGAGTGGCGCAATGAAAAGAAAAACTCCCTCTACATCAGAGAGTGGCGCAATGAAAAGAAAGAGACTCTCTACATCGGAGAGTGGCGCAATGAAAATAAAGACTCCCTCTACATAGGGGAGTGGTGCAATGAAAAGAAGGACTCTCTCTACATAGGAGAGTGGCGCAATGAAAAGAAAGTCTGTCTCTACATAGGAGAGTGGTGCAATGAAAAGAAGGAATCTCTCTACATAGGAGAGTGGTGCAATGAAAAGAAGGACTCCCTCTACATAGGAGAGTGGTGCAATGAAAAGAAGGACTCTCTCTACATAGGAGAGTGGCGCAATGAAAAGAAAGACTCCCTACATAGGAGAGTGGCGCAATGAAAAGAAAGACTCTCTCTACATAGGAGAGTGGCGCAATGAAAAGAAAGACTCCCTCATAGGGAGAGTGGCGCAATGAAAAGAAAGACTCTCTCTACATAGGAGAGTGGCGCAATGAAAAGAAGGACTCTCTCTACATAGGAGAGTGGCGCAATGAAAAGAAAGACTCTCTCTACATAGGAGAGTGGCGCAATGAAAAGAAAGACTCTCTCTACATAGGAGAGTGGTGCAATGAAAAGAAGGACTCTCTCTACATAGGAGAGTGGCGCAATGAAAAGAAAGACTCTCTACATAGGAGAGTGGCGCAATGAAAAGAAAGAGACTCTCTACATCGGAGAGTGGCGCAATGAAAAGAAGGACTCTCTCTACATAGGAGATTGGCACAATGAAAAGAAAGAGACTCTCTACATAGGAGAGTGGCGCAATGAAAAGAAAGACTCTCTCTACATAGGAGAGTGGTGCAATGAAAAGAAAGACTCCCTCTACATCGGAGAGTGGCGCAATGAAAAGAAAGACTCACTCTACATCGGAGAGTGGCGCAATGAAAAGAAAGACTCACTCTATATCGGAGAGTGGCGCAATGAAAAGAAAGACTCTCTCTACATAGGAGAGTGGTGCAATGAAAAGAAAGACTCTCTCTACATAGGAGAGTGGCGCAATGAAAAGAAAGACTCTCTCTACATAGGTGAGTGGTGCAATGAAAAGAAGGACTCCCTCTACATCGGAGAGTGGCGCAATGAAAAGAAAGACTCTCTCTACATAGGAGAGTGGTGCAATGAAAAGAAAGACTCTCTCTACAAAGGAGAGTGGCGCAATGAAAAGAAAGACTCTACATAGGAGAGTGGCGCAATGAAAAGAAAGACTCTCTCATACATGAAAAGGAGAGTGGCGCAATGAAAAGAAAGACTCTCTCTACATAGGAGAGTGGTGCAATGAAAAGAAAGACTCTCTCTACATAGGAGAGTGGCGCAATGAAAAGAAAGACTCTCTCTACATAGGAGAGTGGTGCAATGAAAAGAAGGACTCTCTCTACATAGGAGAGTGGTGCAATGAAAAGAAGGACTCTCTCTACATAGGAGAGTGGCGCAATGAAAAGAAAGACTCCCTCTACATCGGAGAGTGGCGCAATGAAAAGAAAGAGACTCTCTACATCGGAAAGTGGCGCAATGAAAAGAAAGACTCCCTCTACATAGGAGAGTGGCGCAATGAAAAGAAAGACTCTCTCTACATAGGAGAGTGGCGCAATGAAAAGAAAGACTCTCTCTACATAGGAGAGTGGTGCAATGAAAAGAAGGACTCTCTCTACATAGGAGAAAGGAGCGCAATGAAAAAGAAAGACTCTCTCTACATCGGAGAGTGGTGCAATGAAAAGAAAGAAAGACTCTACATCGGAGAGTGGCGCAATGAAAAGAAAGACTCCCTCTACATCGGAGGCGCAATGAAAAGAAAGACTCAATGAAAAATGAAAAGAAAGACTCTACATATCGAGAGTGGCGCAATGAAAAAGAAAGACTTTCTACATCGGAGAGTGGCGCAATGAAAAGAAAGACTCCCTCTACATAGGAGAGTGGCGCAATGAAAAGAAGGACTCTCTACATAGGAGAGTGGCGCAATGAAAAGAAAGACTCTCTCTACATAGGAGAGTGGCGCAATGAAAAGAAAGACTCCTCTCTACATAGGAGAGTGGCGCAATGAAAAGAAAAGACTCCCTCTACATAGGAGAGTGGTGCAATGAAAAGAAAAGACTCTCTACATAGAGAGTGGAGAGTGCAATGAAAAGAAGGACTCTCTCTACATAGGAGAGTGGCGCAATGAAAAGAAAGACTCTCTCTACATAGGAGAGTGGTGCAATGAAAAGAAAGACTCTCTACATAGGAGAGTGGCGCAATGAAAAGAAAGACTCTCTCTACATAGGAGAGTGGCGCAATGAAAAGAAAGACTCTCTCATAGGAGAGTGGCGCAATGAAAAGAAGTGGCGCACATAGAGAAATGAAAAGAAAGACACTCTACATAGGAGAGTGGTGCAATGAAAAGAAAGACTCTCTACATGGGAATGAAAGAAAGACGCAATGAAAGTGGCGCAATGAAAAGAAAGACTTTACATAGGAGAGTGGCGCAATGAAAAGAAAGACTCCCTCTACATAGGAGAGTGGTGCAATGAAAAGAAGGACACTCTCTACATAGGAGAGTGGCGCAATGAAAAGAAAGACTCTCTCTACATAGGAGAGTGGTGCAATGAAAAGAAAGAGACTCTACATAGGAGAGTGGCGCAAAAGAAAAAGGAGTGGCTCTACAAAGAGAGACTGGCATCAATGAAAAGAAGAGACTCTCTACATAGGAGAGTGGCGCAATGAAAAGAAAGACCCTCTCTACATAGGAGAGTGGTGCAATGAAAAGAAAGACTCTCTCTACATAGGAGAAAGTGGCGCAATGAAAAGAAAGACTCTCTCTACATAGGAGAGTGGCGCAATGAAAAATGAAAAGAAAGACTCCTCTACATCGGAGAGTGGCGCAATGAAAAGAAAGACTCTCTCTACATAGGAGAGTGGCGCAATGAAAGAAAGACTCTCTCACATAGGAGAGTGGTGCAATGAAAAGAAAGTGGAGCAATGAAAAGAAAAGACTCTCTACATAGGAGAGTGGCGCAATGAAAAGAAAGACTCACTCTACATCGGAGAGTGGTGCAATGAAACATAGGAGAGTGGCGCACTCTCTCTACATAGGAGAGTGGTGCAATGAAAAGAAAGACTCTCTACATAGGAGAGTGGCGCAATGAAAGAAAGACTCTCTCTCTACATAGGAGAGTGGCGCAATGAAAAGAAAGACTCCCTCTACATCGGAGAGTGGCGCAATGAAAAGAAAGACTCTCTCTACATAGGAGAGTGGCGCAATGAAAAAAAAAGACCCCTCTAATCGAAAATGAAAGAAAGACTCTCTCTCTACATAGGAGACTGGCGCAATGAAAAAAAGACTCTCTCATAGGGAGAGTGGTGCAATGAAAGAAAGACTCTCTCTACATAGGAGAGTGGTGCAATGAAAAGAAAGACTCTCTCTACATAGGAGGGTGGCGCAATGAAAACATCGGAGAAATGAAAAGAAAGACTCTCTACATAGGAGAGTGGCGCAATGAAAAGAAAGACTCCTCTACATAGGAGAGTGGTGCAATGAAAAGAAGGACGCTACATAGGAGAAATGAAAAGAAAGACTCCTCTACATAGGAGAGTGGCGCAATGAAAGAAAGACTCTCTCTACATCGGAGAGTGGCGCAATGAAAAGAAGACTCTCTACATAGGAGAGTGGCGCAATGAAAAGAAAGACTCTCTCTACATAGGGAGTGGCGCAATGAAAAGGTGCAATGAAAAATGAAAAGACTCTCTCTACATAGGAGAGTGGCGCAATGAAAAGAAAGACTCCCTCTACATCGGAGAGTGGCGCAATGAAAAGAAAGACTCTCTACATCGGAGAGTGGCGCAATGAAAAGAAGGACTCTCTCTACATAGGAGAGTGGCGCAATGAAAAGAAAGACTCTCTCTACATAGGAGAGTGGCGCAATGAAAAGAAAGAGACTCTCTCTACATGAAAGGAGAGTGGCGCAATGAAAAGAAAGACTCTCTACATAGGAGAGTGGCGCAATGAAAAGAAAGACTCTCTCTACATAGGAGAGTGGCGCAATGAAAAGAAAGACTCCTCTACATCGGAGAGTGGCGCAATGAAAAAGAAATAGACTCCCTCTACATAGGAGAGTGGCGCAATGAAAAGAAAGACTCTCTAAAAAATCGGAGAGTGGTGCAATGAAAAGAAAGACTCCCTCTACATCGGAGAGTGGCGCAATGAAAAGAAAGACTCCCTCTACATCGGAGAGTGGCGCAATGAAAAGAAAGACTCTCTCTACATAGGAGAGTGGCGCAATGAAAAGAAAGACTCTCTCTACATAGGAGAGTGGCGCAATGAAAAGAAAGACTCTCTCTACATGAGAGAAAAGGCGCAATGGCGCAATGAAAAGAAAGACTCTCTACATCGGAGAGTGGCGCAATGAAAAGAAAGACTCTCTACATAGGAGAGTGGCGTGCAATGAAAAGAAAGACTCTCTCTACATAGGAGAGTGGCAATGAAAAGAAAAGACTCTCTCTAGATGGGAGAAAAGAAAGCGCAATGAAAAATGAAAGAAAGACTCTCTACATAGGAGAGTGGCGCAATGAAAAGAAAGACTCTCTACATCGGAGAGTGGCGCAATGAAAAGAAAGACTCTCTCACATCGGAGAGTGGCGCAATGAAAAGAAAGACTTCTCTACATAGGAGAGTGGCGCAAAAAAGAAAGACTCTCTCATAGGAGAGTGGCGCAATGAAAAGAAAGACTCTCTCTACATAGGGAGAGTGGCGCAATGAAAAGAAAGACTCTCTACATAGGAGAGTGGCGCAATGAAAGAAAGACTCTCTCTACATCGGAGAGTGGCGCAATGAAAAGAAAGACTCCTCTACATCGGAGATGGGAATGAAAAGAAAGACGCAATGAAAAGTGGCGCAATGAAAAGAAAGACTCTACATAGGAGAGTGGCGCAATGAAAAGAAAGACTCCTCTACATCGGAGAGTGGCAATGAAAAGAAATACAAAGAGAAAAAGAAATACTCTCTACATAGGAGAGTGGCGCAATGAAAAGAAAGACCCTCTACATGGAGAGTGGCGCAATGAAAAATGAAAGACTCCCTCTACATAGGAGAGTGGCGCAATGAAAAGAAAGACTCTCTCTACATAGGAGAGTGGCGCAATGAAAGAAAGACTCTCTCTACAGGAGAGTGGCGCAATGAAAAGAAAGACTCTCTACATATCAAAAGAAAGACGCTAGGAGAGTGGCGCAATGAAAAGAAAGACTCTCTCTACATAGGAGAGTGGCGCAATGAAAAGAAGGACTCTCTACAGGGGAGAGTGGCGCAATGAAAAGAAAGACTCTCTACATAGGAGAGTGGCGCAATGAAAAGAAAAGACTCTCTCTACATCGGAGAGTGGCGCAATGAAAAGAAAGACTCCTCTACATCGGAGAGAGTGGCGCAATGAAAAGAAAGACTCCCTCTACATAGGAGAGTGGCGCAATGAAAAGAAAGAGACTCTCTACATCGAGAGTGGCGCAATGAAAAAGAAAGACTCTCTCTACATAGGAGAGTGGCGCAATGAAAAGAAAGACTCTCTCTACATAGGAGAGTGGCGCAATGAAAAGAAAGACTCTCTCTACATAGGAGAGTGGCGCAATGAAAAGAAAGACTCCCTCTACATCGGAGAGTGGCGCAATGAAAAAGAAAAAGGAAAGAATGAAAGAAAGACTCTCTCTACATCGGAGAGTGGCGCAATGAAAAGAAAGACTCTCTCACATAGGAGAGTGGCGCAATGAAAAGAAAGACTCCCTCTACATCGGAGAGTGGCAATGAAAAGAAAGACTCTCTCTACATCGGAGAGTGGCGCAATGAAAAGAAAGACTCTCTCTACATGGGAGAGTGGCGCAATGAAAAAGAAAGACTCCTCTACATAGGAGAGTGGCGCAATGAAAAGAAAAGACCCTCTACATCGGAGAGTGGCGCAATGAAAAGAAAGACTATCTCTACATAGGAGAGTGGTGCAATGAAAAGAAAGACTCTCTCTGCATAGGAGAGTGGCGCAATGAAAAGAAAGACTCTCTCTACATAGGAGAGTGGCGCAATGAAAAGAAAGACTCTCTACATAGGAGAGGGCGCAATGAAAAAAAGACTCTCTCTACATAGGAGAGAGTGGCGCAATGAAAAGAAAGACTCTCTCTGCAAAGGAGAGTGGCGCAATGAAAAGAAAGACTCTCTTTACATAGGAGAGTGGCGCAATGAAAAGAAAGACTCCCTCTACATCGGAGAGTGGCGCAATGAAAAGAAAGACTCTCTCTACATCGGAGAGTGGCAATGAAAAAAGAAGACTCTCTCTATATGGAGAGTGGCGCAATGAAAAAAAGACTCTCTACATAGGAGAGTGGCGCAATGAAAAGAAAGACTCTCTACATCGGAGAGTGGCGCAATGAAAAGAAAGACTCTCTCTACATAGGAGAGTGGCGCAATGAAAAGAAAGACTCTCTACATAGGAGAGTGGCAATGAAAGAAAGACTCTGGAGGAAAAGAAATGAAAAGACTCCCTCTACATCGGAGAGTGGCGCAATGAAAAGAAGAAAGACTCTCTCTACATAGGAGAGTGGCGCAATGAAAAGAAAGACTCCTCTACATCGGAGAGTGGCGCAATGAAAAGAAAGACTCTCTCTACATGGGAGAGTGGTGCAATGAAAAGAAAGACTCTCTCTACATAGGAGAGTGGCAATGCAATGAAAGAAACACTCTCTCTACATCGGGAGAGTGGCGCAATGAAAAAAAAGACTCTCTCTACATAGGAGAGTGGCGCAATGAAAAGAAAGACTCTCTACATAGGAGAGTGGTGCAATGAAAAGAAAGACTCCTCTACATCGGAGAGTGGCGCAATGAAAAGAAACATAGGAGAGGTCTGAAAAGAAAGACCCTCTACATCGGAGAGGTGGCAATGAAAAGAAAGACTCTCTCTACATAGGAGAGTGGCGCAATGAAAAGAAGGACCCCTCTACATCGGAGAGTGGCGCAATGAAAGAAAAGACTCTCTACATAGGAGAGTGGTGCAATGAAAAGAAAGACTCTCTACATCGGAGAGTGGCGCAATGAAAAGAAAGACTCTCTACATAGGAGAGTGGCGCAATGAAAAGAAAGACTCCCTCTACATCGGAGAGTGGCGCAATGAAAAGAAAGACTCTCTCATAGGAGAGTGGCGCAATGAAAAAGAAAAGACTGGCGCAATGAAAAGAAAGACTCTCTCTACATAGGAGAGTGGCAATGAAAAGAAAAAATTCTCTCTACATAGGAGAGTGGTGCAATGAAAAAGAAAGACTCTCTCTACATAGGAGAGTGGCGCAATGAAAAGAAAGACTCTCTCTACATAGGAGAGTGGTGCAATGAAAAAGAAAGACTCTCTCTACATAGGAGAGTGGCGCAATGAAAAGAAAGACTCTACATCTACATACATCGGAGAAATGGAGGAGAGTGGCGCAATGAAAGAAAGAGACTCTCTACACATGAAAAGTGGCGCAATGAAAAGAAAGACTCCCTCTACATCGGAGAGTGGCGCAATGAAAAGAAAGACTCTCTCTACATAGGAGAGTGGCGCAATGAAAAGAAAGACTCTCTCTACATCGAGAGTGGCGCAATGAAAGAAAAGAATCTCTCTACATAGGAGAGTGGCGCAATGAAAAGAAAGACTCTCTCTACATAGGAGAGTGGTGCAATGAAAAGAAAAGACTCCTCTACATCGGAGAGTGGCGCAATGAAAAGCGGAGAGTGGCAATGAAAAGAAAGACTCTCTCTACATAGGAGAGTGGTGCAATGAAAAATGAAAAGACTCTCTACATAGGAGAGTGGCGCAATGAAAAGAAAGACTCTCTCTACATCGGAGAGTGGCGCAATGAAAAAAGAAAAGACTCTCTCTACATAGGAGAGTGGCGCAATGAAAAGAAAGACTCTCTCTACATAGGAGAGTGGCGCAATGAAAAGAAAGACTCTCTCATAGAGTGGCAATGGAGGAGTGTGGCGCAATGAAAAGAAACTCTCTCTACATCGGAGAGTGGCGCAATGAAAGAAAGACTCCCTCTACATAGGAGAGAGGGTGGCGCAATGAAAAGAAAGGACTCTCTCTACATAGGAGAGTGGCGCAATGAAAAGAAAGACTCCCTCTACATCGGAGAGTGGCGCAATGAAAAGAAAGACTCTCTCTACATAGGAGAGTGGCGCAATGAAAAGAAAGACTCTCTCTACATAGGAGAGTGGTGCAATGAAAAGAAAGACTCCCTCTACATCGGAGAGTGGCGCAATGAAAAGAAAGACTCTCTACATAGGAGAGTGGCGCAATGAAAAGAAAGACTCTCTCTACATAGGAGAGTGGCGCAATGAAAAAGAAAGACTCTACATAGGAGAGTGGTGCAATGAAAAAAAAGACTCTCTACATCGGAGAGTGGCGCAATGAAAAGAAAGACTCCTCTACATAGGAGAGTGGCGCAATGAAAAGAAAGACTCTCTACATAGGAGAGTGGCGCAATGAAAAGAAAGACTCTCTCTCTACATAGGAGAGTGGCGCAATGAAAAGAAAGACTCTCTCATAGGAGAGTGGGCAATGAAAAGGACTCTCAATGAAAAATGAAAGAAAAACCTCTACATCGGAGAGTGGCGCAATGAAAAGAAAGACTCTCCTCTACATCGGAGAGTGGCGCAATGAAAAGAAAAGACTCTCTACATAGGGAGAGTGGCGCAATGAAAAGAAAGACTCTCTACATCGGAGAGTGGCGCAATGAAAAGAAAGACTCCCTCTACATCGGAGAGTGGCGCAATGAAAAGAAAGACTTTCTACATCGGGAGAGTGGCGCAATGAAAAGAAAGACTCTCTACATAGGAGAGTGGCGCAATGAAAAGAAGGACTCTCTTACATAGGAGAGTGGCGCAATGAAAAGAAAAGACTCTCTACATAGGAGAGTGGCGCAATGAAAAGAAAGACTCTCTCTACATAGGAGAGTGGCGCAATGAAAAGAAAGACTCTCTCTACATAGGAGAGTGGCGCAATGAAAAGAAAGACTCCCCTCTACATAGGAGAGTGGCGCAATGAAAGAGTGGTGCAAAAAGAAAGACTCTCTCTACATAGGAGAGTGGCGCAATGAAAAGAAAGACTCTCTCTACATAGGAGAGTGGCGCAATGAAAAAGAAAGACTCTCTCTACATAGGAGAGTGGCGCAATGAAAAGAAAGAAAGGAGAGTGGCGCAATCACTCTACATAGGAGAGTGGCGCAATGAAAAAAGAAAGACATAGGAGAGTGGTGCAATAAAAGAAAGACTCCTCTACATAGGAGAGTGGTGCAATGAAAAGAAAGACTCTCTACATAGGAGAGTGGTGCAATGAAAAGAAAGACTCCTCTACATAGGAGAGTGGCGCAATGAAAAGAAAGACTCCTCTACATAGGAGAGTGGCGCAATGAAAAGAAAGAGACTCTCTACATCGGAGAGTGGCGCAATGAAAAGAAAGACTCCCTCACATAGGAGAAAGAAAGACTGGGCAAGAGTGGCGCAAAAAGAAAGACTCTCTACATAGGAGAGTGGCAATGAAAAAGAAAGACTCCCTCTACATAGGAGAGTGGCGCAATGAAAAGAAAGACTCTCTCTACATGGGAGAGTGGCGCAATGAAAAGAAAGACCTCTCTACAGGAGAGTGGCGCAATGAAAAGAAAGACTCTCTACATCGGAGAGTGGCGCAATGAAAAGAAAGACTCTCTCACATGGAGAGTGGTGGCAATGAAAAAGAAAGACTCTCTACATAGAGAGTGGCGCAATGAAAAGAAAGACTCTCTACATAGGAGAGTGGCGCAATGAAAAGAAAAGACTCTGTCTACATAGGAGAGTGGCGCAATGAAAAGAAAGACTCTCTCTACATAGGAGAGTGGCGCAATGAAAAGAAAGACTCTCTACATAGGAGAGTGGCGCAATGAAAAGAAAGACCCTCTCTACATCGGAGAGTGGCGCAATGAAAGAAAGACTCCCTACATCTGTCTACATCGGAGAGTGGCGCAATGAAAAAGAAAGACTCTCTACATAGGAGAGTGGCGCAATGAAAAGAAAGACTCTCTCTACATAGGAGAGTGGTGCAATGAAAAGAAAAAATTCGCAATGGCGCAATGAAAAGAAAGACTCTCTACATAGGAGAGTGGCGCAATGAAAAGAAAGGACTCCCTCTACATCGGAGAGTGGCGCAATGAAAGAAAGACTCTCTCTACATGGGAGAGTGGTGCAATGAAAAGAAAGACTCTCTCTACATAGGAGAGTGGCGCAATGAAAAGAAAGACTCTCTCATAGGAGTGGGAGAGTGGTGCAATGAAAAGAAAGACTCTCTACATCTGCAATGAAAAAGGACTCTCTCATAGGAGAAAGTGCGCAATGAAAAGAAAAAGACTCTACATCGGAGAGTGGCGCAATGAAAAAGAAAGACCTCTACATAGGAGAGTGGCGCAATGAAAGAAAGACTCTCTCTACATCGGAGAGTGGCGCAATGAAAAGAAAGACCTCTCTACATCGGAGAGTGGCGCAAAAGAAAAGACTCTCTCTACATCGGAGAGTGGCGCAATGAAAAGAAGACTCTCTACATCGGAGAGTGGCGCAATGAAAAGAAAGACTCCCTCTACATAGGAGAGTGGCGCAATGAAAAGAAGGAAAGACATAGGAGAGTGGCGCAATGAAAAAGAAAGACTCTACATATCGGAGAGTGGCGCAATGAAAAGAAAGACTTTCTGTAGGAGAGTGCAATGAAAAGAAAGACTCTCTACATCTGGCGCAATGAAAAGAAAGACTCTCTCTACATAGGGAGAGTGGTGCAATGAAAAGAAAGACTCTCTCTCATACAGGAGAGTGGCGCAATGAAAAAGAAAGACTCTCTCTACATAGGAGAGTGCGCAATGAAAAAGAAAGACTCTACATGGGAGAGGCGCAATGAAAAGAAAGACTCTACATCGGAGAGCAATGAAATGAAAGACTCTCTACATCGGAGAGTGGCGCAATGAAAAAAAAGACTCTCTACATCGGAGAGTGGCGCAATGAAAAAGAAAGACTCTCTACATCGGAGAGTGGCGCAATGAAAATGAAAGACTCTCTACATAGGAGAGTGGCGCAATGAAAAGAAAGACTCTCTCTACATAGGAGAAAGTGGCGCAATGAAAAAAGAAAGACTCCTACATAGGGAGAGTGGCGCAATGAAAAGAAAGACTCCCTCTACATAGGAGAGTGGTGCAATGAAAAGAAAGACTCTCTACATGGGAGAGTGGTGCAATGAAAAGAAAGACTCTCTACATCGGAGAGTGGCGCAATGAAAAGAAAGACTCTCTCTACATCGGAGAAAGTGGCGCAATGAAAAGAAGGACTCTACATAGGAGAGTGGCCCCCCTACATCGGGAGAGTGGCGCAATGAAAAGAAAGACTCCCTCTACATGGGAGAGTGGCGCAATGAAAAAAGAAAGACTCCCTCTACATAGGAGAGTGGCGCAATGAAAAGAAAGACTCTCTACATCGGAGAGTGGCGCAATGAAAGAAAGACTCTCTACATAGGAGAGTGGTGCAATGAAAAAAACTCTCTCTACATAGGAGAGTGGCGCAATGAAAAAGAAAAGACTCTCTCTACATAGGAGAGTGGCGCAATGAAAAGAAGAAAGACTCTACATCGGAGAGTGGCAATGAAAAGAAAGACTCTCTACATAGGAGAGTGGCGCAATGAAAAGAAAGACTCTCTACATAGGAGAGTGGCGCAATGAAAAGAAAGACTCTCTCTACATCGGAGAGTGGCGCAATGAAAGAAAGACTCTCTCTACATAGGAGAGTGGCGCAATGAAAAGAAAGACTCTCTACATCGGAGAGTGGCGCAATGAAAAGAAAGACTCTCTACATAGGAGAGTGGCGCAATGAAAAGAAAGACTCTCTACATAGGAGAGTGGCGCAATGAAAAGAAAGACTCCTCTACATCGGAGAGTGGCGCAAATGAAAAGAAAGACTCTCTCTACATCGGAGAGTGGCGCAATGAAAAGAAAGACTCTCTCTACATCGGAGAGTGGCGCAATGAAAAAGAAAGACTCTCTCTACATAGGAGAGTGGCAATGAAAAGAAAGACTCTCTACATAGGAGAGGTGGAGACTCTCTACATAGGAGAGTGGCGCAATGAAAAGAAAGACTCTCTCTACATAGGAGAGTGGCGCAATGAAAAGAAAGACTCCCTCTACAAAAGAAAGACTCTACATAGGGAGAGTGGAAAAGAAAGACTTTCATATGGTGCAATGAAAAGAAAAAGACTCTCTCTACATAGGAGAGTGGCGCAATGAAAAGAAAGACTCTCTCTACATAGGAGAGTGGCGCAATGAAAAAGAAAGACTCTCTACATAGGAGAGTGGCGCAATGAAAAGAAAGACTCTCTCTACATCGGAGAGTGGCGCAAAAGAAAGACTCTCTCTACATCGGAGAGAGTGGCGCAATGAAAAGAAAGACTCTCTACATAGGAGAGTGGCGCAATGAAAAGAAAGACTCTCTCTACACAGGGAGAGTGGCGCAATGAAAAGAAAGACTCCCTCTACATGGAGAGTGGCGCAATGAAAAGAAAAAGACTCCTCTACATAGGAGAGTGGCGCAATGAAAAGAAAGACTCTCTACATAGGAGAGTGGCGCAATGAAAAGAAAGACTCTCTCTACAGGAGAGTGGCGCAATGAAAAGAAAGACTCTCTCTACATAGGAGAGTGGCGCAATGAAAAGAAAGACTCTCTACATAGGGAGAGTGGCGCAATGAAAAGAAAGAGAGTGGCCATCTATATATAGGAGAGTGGCGCAATGAAAGAAAGAACTCTCTACATAGGGAGAGTGGCGCAATGAAAAGAAAGACTCTCTACATCGGAGAGTGGCGCAATGAAAAAGAAAGACTCTACAATGAAGTGGCGCAATGAAAGAAAACTCTCTACATAGGAGAGTGGCGCAATGAAAAGAAAGACTCTCTCTACACAGGAGAGTGGCGCAATGAAAAGAAAGACTCTCTACATAGGAGAGTGGCGCAAAAGGACTGAAAATGAAAAAGAAAGACTCTCTCTGCACATAGGAGAGTGGCGCAATGAAAGAAAGACTCCTCTACATCGGAGAGTGGCGCAATGAAAAGAAAGACTCACTCTACATCGGAGAGTGGCGCAATGAAAAGAAAGACTCACTCTATGAAAGAAATACGGAGAGTGGCGCAATGAAAAGAAAGACTCTCTCTGAGAAATGAAAAGAAAGACTCTCTCTACATAGGAGAGTGGCGCAATGAAAAGAAAAGACTCTCTACATAGGGAGAGTGGCGCAATGAAAAGAAAAGACTCTCTACATAGGAGAGTGGCGCAATGAAAAAGAAAAGACTCTCTCATACATCGGAGAGTGGCGCAATGAAAAGAAAGACTCTCTACATGGGGAGAGTGGCGCAATGAAAAAGAAAGACTCTCTCTACATAGGAGAGGCGCAATGGCGCAATGAAAAAAAGAAAGACTCTCTCTACATCGGAGAGTGGCGCAATGAAAAGAAAGACTCTCTCACATAGGAGAGTGGTGCAATGAAAAGAAAGACTCTCTCTACATAGGAGAGCAATGAAAAAGAAAGACGCAATGAAAAATGAAAAGAAAGACTCTCTCTACATAGGAGAGTGGCGCAATGAAAAGAAAGACTCTCTACATCGGAGAGTGGCGCAATGAAAGAAAGAGACTCTCATAGGAGAGTGGCGCAATGAAAAGAAAGACTCTCTCTACATCGGAGAGTGGTGCAATGAAAAAGAAAAAATACTCCCTCTACATAGGGAGAGTGGCGCAATGAAAAGAAAGACTCTCTCTACAGAGTGGCCAGGCAATGAAAAGAAAGACCTCTACATCAGGAGAGTGGCGCAATGAAAAGAAAGACTCTCTACATAGGAGAGTGGCGCAATGAAAGAAAGACTCTCTACATAGGGAGTGGTGCAATGAAAAAAGACTCTCCACATAGGGAATGAAAAGGCGCAATGAAAAGGCGCAAAAAAGAAAGACTTTCATCGGAGAGTGGTGCAATGAAAAGAAAGACTCCTCTACATCGGAGAGTGGCGCAATGAAAAGAAAGACTCTCTCTACATAGGAGAGTGGCGCAATGAAAAGAAAGACTCTCCCTCTACATGGGAGAGTGGCGCAATGAAAAGAAAAGACTCTCTCTACATAGGAGAGTGGCGCAATGAAAAGAAAGACTCTCTACATAGGAGAGTGGCGCAATGAAAGAAAGACTCTCTCTACATAGGAGAAAAGTGGCGCAATGAAAAGAAAGACTCTCTCTACATAGGAGAGTGGCGCAATGAAAAAAAGACTCTCTACATAGGAGAGTGGCGCAATGAAAATGAAAAGACTCTCTCTACATAGGAGAGTGGCGCAATGAAAGAAAGACTCTCTACATGGAGAGTGGCGCAATGAAAAGAAAGACTCTCTCTACATAGGAGAGTGGCGCAATGAAAAGAAAGACTCTCTACATAGGAGAGTCTCTACATATAGGAGAGTGGTGCAATGAAAAGGAGAGACTCAATGAAAGAAGACTCTCTCTACATAGGAGAGTGGCGCAATGAAAAGAAAGACTCTCTCTTCATAGGAGAGTGGCGCAATGAAAAGAAAGACTCTCTCTACAGAGAGTGGCGCAATGAAAAGAAAGACTCTCTCTACATAGGAGAGTGGTGCAATGAAAAGAAGGACTCCATACATAGGAGAGTGGCGCAATGAAAAGAAAGAGACTCTCTACATCGGAGAGTGGCGCAATGAAAAGAAAGACTCCCTCTACATAGGAGAGTGGCGCAATGAAAAGAAAGACTCTCTCTACATAGGAGAGTGGCGCAATGAAAAGAAAGACTCTCTCTACATCGGAGAAAGTGGCGCAATGAAAAAGAAAGACTCTCTCTACATCGGAGAGTGGCGCAATGAAAAGAAAGACTCTCTACACAGAGGGAGAAAAGTGGCGCAATGAAAAAGAAAGACTCTCTCTACATAGGAGAGTGGCGCAATGAAAAAGAAAGACTCACTCTACATAGGAGAGTGGCGCAATGAAAAGAAAGACTCTCTACATAGGAGAGTGGCGCAATGAAAAAGAAAGACTCCTCTACATAGGAGAGTGGCGCAATGAAAGAAAGACTCTCTCTACATAGAGAGTGGCGCAATGAAAAGAAAGACTCTCTCTACATAGGAGAGTGGCGCAATGAAAAAAGGAAAGACTCTCTACATAGGAGAGTGGCGCAATGAAAAGAAAGACTCTCTCTCAATGAAAAGAAAGACTCTACATAGGAGAGTGGCGCAATGAAAAGAAAGACTCTCTACATAGGAGAGAGTGGCGCAATGAAAAGAAAGACTCTCTCTACATAGGAGAGTGGCGCAATGAAAAGAAAGACTCTCTCTACATAGGAGAGTGGCGCAATGAAAAGAAAGACTCTCTCTACATGGCGGAGAAAGTGGCTCAATGAAAAGAAAAAGACTCTCTACATAGGAGAGTGGCGCAATGAAAAGAAAGACTCTCTACATAGGAGAGTGGCGCAATGAAAAGAAAAAGACTCTCTCTACATAGGAGAGTGGCGCAATGAAAAGAAAGACTCTCTCACATAAAGGAGAGTGGCGCAATGAAAAGAAAGACTCTCTCTACATAGGAGAGTGGCGCAATGAAAAGAAGGAGACTCTCTACATGGGAGAGTGGCGCAATGAAAGAAGGAACAGGGACTCAATGAAAGAAAGACTCTACATAGGAGAGTGGCGCAATGAAAAGAAAGACTCTCTCTACATCGGAGAGTGGCGCAATGAAAAGAAAGACTCTACATAGGAGAGTGGCGCAATGAAAAGAAAGACTCTCTCTGAAAAGAAGAGACTCTACATAGGAGAGTGGCGCAATGAAAAGAAGGACACTCTCTACATAGGAGAGTGGCGCAATGAAAGGAAAGACTCTCTACATAGGAGTGTGGCGCAATGAAACGAAAGGGGACTCTCTACATCGGAGAGTGCCGCAATGAAAAGAAAGACTCTCTCTACATAGGAGAGTGGTGCAATGAAAAGAAAGACTCTCTCTACATAGGAGAGTGGCGCAATGAAAAGAAAGACTCTCTCTACATAGGAGAGTGGCGCAATGAAAAGAAAGACTCCCTCTACATCGGAGAGTGGCGCAATGAAAAGAAAGACTCTCTCTACATAGGAGAGTGGTGCAATGAAAAGAAGGACTCTCTCTACATAGGAGAGTGGCGCAATGAAAAGAAAGACTCTCTCTACATAGGAGAGTGGCGCAATGAAAAGAAAGACTCTCTCTACATAGGAGAGTGGCGCAATGAAAAGAAAGACTCTCTCTACATAGGAGAGTGGCGCAATGAAAAGAAAGAGACTCTCTACATAGGAGAGTGGCGCAATGAAAAGAAAGACTCTCTCATCGGAGAGTGGCGCAATGAAAAAGAAAGACTCTCTCTACATAGGAGAGTGGCGCAATGAAAAGAAGGACTCTCTCTACATAGGAGAGTGGCGCAATGAAAAGAAAGACTCCCTCTACATAGGAGAGTGGTGCAATGAAAAGAAAGACTCTCTCTACATAGGAGAGTGGCGCAATGAAAAGAAAGGACTCTCTACATAGGAGAGAATGAAAAATGAAAAGAAAGAAAGAAGGTCTCCTCTCTACATAGGAGACAATGAAAAGAAAGACTCTCTACATAGGAGAGTGGCGCAATGAAAAGAAAGACTCTCTACATAGGAGAGTGGCGCAATGAAAAAGAAAGACTCTCTCTACATAGGAGAGTGGCGCAATGAAAAGAAAGACTCTCTACATAGGAGAGTGGCGCAATGAAAAGAAAGACTCTCTCTACATAGGAGAGTGGCGCAATGAAAAGAAAGACTCCCTTACATAGGAGAGTGGCGCAATGAAAAGAAAGACTCTCTCTACATAGGAGAGTGGCGCAATGAAAAAAAAGACTCCCTCTCAATGAAAAGAAAGACTCTCCCTCAATGAAAAAGACAAAGAGTGGCGCAATGAAAGAAAGACTCTCTCTACATAGGGAGAGTGGCGCAATGAAAAGAAAGACTCTCTCTACATAGGAGAGTGGCGCAATGAAAAAAAAAACATAGGAGAGTGGCGCAATGAAAAGAAAGACTCTCTACATGGGAGAGTGGCGCAATGAAAAGAAAGACTCTCTCTACATAGGAGAGTGGCGCAATGAAAAGAAAGACTCACTCTACATAGGAGAGTGGCGCAATGAAAAGAAAGACTCTCTCTACATAGGAGAGTGGCACAATGAAAAGAAAGACTCTCTACATAGGAGAGTGGCGCAATGAAAAGAAAGAGACTCTGTACATCGGAGAGTGGCGCAATGAAAAGAAGGACTCTCTCTACATAGGAGAGTGGCGCAATGAAAAGAAAGACTCCTCTACATAGGAGAGTGGCGCAATGAAAAGAAAGACTCCCTCTACATCGGAGAGTGGCGCAATGAAAAGAAAGACTCCCTCTACATCGGAGAGTGGCGCAATGAAAAGAAAGACTCTCTCTACATAGGAGAGTGGTGCAATGAAAAGAAAGACTCTCTCTACATAGGAGAGTGGCGCAATGAAAAGAAAGACTCTCTCTACATAGGAGAGTGGTGCAATGAAAAGAAAGACTCCCTCTACATAGGAGAGTGGCGCAATGAAAAGAAAGACTCTCTACATAGGAGAGTGGCGCAAAAAAGAAAGACTCTCTACATGGGAGAGTGGCGCAATGAAAAGAAAGACTCTCTCACATAGGAGAGTGGCGCAATGAAAAGAAGACTCTCTCAGGAGAGTGGCGCAATGAAAAGAAAGACTCTCTACATAGGAGAGTGGCGCAATGAAAAGAAAGACTCTCTCTACATAGGAGAGTGGAGAGTGCAATGAAAAAGAACATCGGAGAGTGAATGAAAAGAAAGACTCTCTCAAATCGGGAGAGTGGCGCAATGAAAAGAAAGACTCCTCTACATCGGAGAGTGGCGCAATGAAAAGAAAGAGACCTCTACATCGGAGAGTGGTGCAATGAAAAGAAAGACTCTCTCTACATAGGAGAGTGGCGCAATGAAAAGAAAGACTCTCTCACATCGGACAATGAAAAAGAAAAAGACTGGCTACAAGAGTGAAAAAATGAAAGACTCTCTCTCTACATAGAGGAGAGTGGCGCAATGAAAAGAAAGACTCTCTCTACATAGGAGAGTGGCGCAATGAAAAGAAAGACTCTCTCTACATAGGAGAGTGGCGCAATGAAAAGAAAGACTCTCTCTACATAGGAGAGTGGCGCAATGAAAAGAAAGACTCTCTCTACATAGGAGAGTGGAAAAGAAAGACTCTCTACATAGGAATGAAAAAAGAAAGACTCTCTCTACATAGGAGAGTGGCGCAATGAAAGAAAGAGACTCTCTACATAGGAGAGTGGCGCAATGAAAAGAAAGACTCCTACTACATGGCGCAATGAGAGTGGCGCAATGAAAAGAAAGACTCCTTCTACATCGGAGAGTGGCGCAATGAAAAGAAAGACTCTCTACATCGGAGAGTGGCGCAATGAAAGAAAGACTCTCTACATAGGAGAGTGGTGCAATGAAAAGAAAGACTCTCTACATAGGAGAGAGTGGCGCAATGAAAAGAAAAGACTCTCTCTACATAGGAGAGTGGCGCAATGAAAAGAAAGACTCTCTACATAGGGAGAGTGGCAATGAAAAGAAAGACTCTCTCTACATAGGAGAGTGGCGCAATGAAAAGAAAGACTCTCTACATAGGAGAGTGGCGCAATGAAAAAGAAAGACTCTCTCTACATAGGAGAGTGGCGCAATGAAAAGAAAGACTCTCTACATAGGAGAGTGGCGCAATGAAAAGAAAGACTCTCTACATAGGAGAGTGGCGCAATGAAAAGAAAGACTCTCTCTCTACATGGAAAAAGAGACTGGCGCAATGAAAAAGAAAGACTCTCTCTACATAGGAGAGTGGCGCAATGAAAGAAAGACTCTCTCTACATAGGAGAGTGGCGCAATGAAAAAGAAAGACTCTCTCTACATAGGGAGAGTGGCGCAATGAAAAAAGTGGCGCAATGACTCTCCTCTACATAGGAGAGTGGCGCAATGAAAAGAAAAGACTCTACATAGGAGAGTGGCGCAATGAAAAGAAAGACTCTCTCTACATAGGGAGAGTGGCAATGAAAAGAAAGACTCTCTACATAGGAGAGTGGCGCAATGAAAAGAAAGACTCTCTCTACATAGGAGAGTGTGGCGCAATGAAAAGAAAGACTCTCTACATAGGGAGAGTGGCGCAATGAAAAGAAAGACTCTCTCTACATAGGAGAGTGGCGCAATGAAAAGAAAGACTCCTCTACATCGGAGAGTGGCGCAATGAAAAGAAAGACCTCTCTACATAGGAGAGTGGCGCAATGAAAAAGAAAGACCTCTACATCGGAGAGTGGCAATGAAAAGAAAATGGGAAAATGAAAGAAGGACTCTCTACATGGGAGAGTGGCGCAATGAAAAGAAAGACTGTCTCTACATAGGAGAGGCGCAATGAAAAAGAAAGACTCTCTACATAGGAGAGTGGCGCAATGAAAAGAAAGACTCCTCTACATAGGAGAGTGGCGCAATGAAAAAAGAAATAGGAGAGTGGTGCAATGAAAAGAAAAGACTCTACATAGGAGAGTGGCGCAATGAAAGAAAGACTCCCTCTACATAGGAGAGTGGCGCAATGAAAAGAAAGACTCTCTCTACATAGGAGAGTGGCGCAATGAAAAGAAAGACTCTCTCTACATAGGAGAGTGGCGCAATGAAAAGAAAGACTCTCTCTACATAGGAGAGTGGTGCAATGAAAAGAAGGACTCTCTACATAGGAGAGTGGCGCAATGAAAAGAAAAGACTCTCTACATAGGAGAGTGGCGCAATGAAAAAGAAAGACTCTCTCTACATAGGAGAGTGGCGCAATGAAAAGAAAGACTCTCTCTACATGGGAGAGTGGCGCAATGAAAAGAAAAGACTCTCTCTACATAGGAGAGTGGCGCAATGAAAAAGAAAGACTCTCTACATCGGAGAGTGGCGCAATGAAAAGAAAGACTCTCTACATAGGAGAGTGGCGCAATGAAAAGAAAGACTCTCTACATAGGAGAGTGGCGCAATGAAAAGAAAGACCCTCTCTACATAGGAGAGTGGCGCAATGAAAAGAAAAGAGACTCCCTCTACATCCGAGAGTGGCGCAATGAAAAGAAAGACTCCTCTACATCGGAGAGTGGCGCAATGAAAAATGAAAGACTCTCTCTACATCGGAGAGTGGCGCAATGAAAAGAAAAGACTCTCTACATAGGAGAGTGGCGCAATGAAAAGAAAGACTCCTCTACATAGGAGTGGCGCAAAAAGAAAGACTCTCTCACATAGGAGGGTAATGAAAAGAAAGACTCTCTACATAGGAGAGTGGCGCAATGAAAGAAAGACTCCTCTACATCTCTACATAGGAGAGTGGCGCAATGAAAAAGAAAGACTCTCTCAATAAGAAAGACTAGGCGCAATGAAAAGAAAGACGCACATAGAAAGTGGCGCAATGAAAAGAAAGAGAGTGGTGGAATCTCTACATAGGAGAGTGGCGCAATGAAAAGAAAACTCCTCTACATAGGAGAGTGGCGCAATGAAAAGAAAGACTCTCTACATACAGGAGAGTGGCGCAATGAAAAGAAAGACTCTCTCCACATAGGAGAGTGGCGCAATGAAAAGAAAAGACTCCATCTACATCGGAGAGTGGCGCAATGAAAAGAAAGACTCTCTACATAGGAGAGTGGCTCTACATAGCAATGAAAGAAAGGAATGAAAAAAGGACTCCTCTACATAGGAGAGTGGCGCAATGAAAAAAAAGACTCTCTACATAGGAGAGTGGCGCAATGAAAAGAAAGACTCCTCTACATAGGAGAGTGGCGCAAAAAGAAAAACTCTCTCTACATAGGAGAGTGGCGGCAATGAAAAGAAAGACTCTCTACATAGGAGAGTGGCTGAAAAGAAAAGACTCTCTACATCGGAGAGTGGCGCAATGAAAGAAAGACTCCCTCTACATCGGGAGAGTGGCGCAATGAAAAGAAAGACAATCTCTCTACATCGGAGAGTGGCGCAATGAAAAAGAAAGACTCTCTCTACATAGGAGAGTGGCGCAATGAAAAGAAAGACTCCCTACATAGGGAGAGTGGCGCAATGAAAAGAAAGACTCTCTCTACATCGGAGAGTGGCAATGAAAAGAAAGACTCTCCTCTACATGGGAGAGTGGCGCAATGAAAAGAAAGACTCCAATGAAAAAGAAAGACTCTACATCGGAGAGTGGCGCAATGAAAAAGAAAGACTCCTCTACATCGGATCTAGCGCAATGGAGAGGCGCAATGAAAAGAAAGACTCTCTCTACATAGGAGAGTGGCAATGAAAAGAAAGACTCTCTCTACATCGGAGAGTGGCGCAATGAAAAGAAAGACTCTCTACTCTAGAGGCAATGAAAAGAGAAATGAAAAGAAAGACTCTCATACATAGGAATGAAAAGAAAGACGCAATGAAAATGAAAAGAAAGACTCTCTCTACATCGGAGAGTGGCGCAATGAAAAGAAAGACTCTCTACATCGGGAGAGTGGCAATGAAAAGAAAAAGACTCTCTCTACATGGAGAGTGGCGCAATGAAAAGAAAGACTCTCATAGGAGAGTGGTGCAATGAAAAGAAAGACTCCTCTACATCGGAGAGTGGCGCAATGAAAAGAAAGACTCCCTCTACATCGGAGAGTGGCGCAATGAAAAAAAAGACTCACTCTACATCGGAAAGTGGCACGAAAAGAAGACTCTCTACAGGGAGAGTGGCGCAATGAAAAAGAAAGACTCTACATAGGAGAGTGGCGCAATGAAAAGAAAGACTCTCTCTATAGGAGAGTGGCGCAATGAAAAGAAAGACTCCCTCTACATAGGAGAGTGGCGCAATGAAAAGAAAGACTCTCTCTACATAGGAAAGAAAGTGGAGAGTGGCGCAATGAAAAAGAAAGACTCCCTCTACATCGGAGAGTGGCGCAATGAAAAGAAAAGACTCAATGAAAGAAAAGACTCCCTCTATAGGAGAGTGGTGCAATGAAAAGAAAGAATCTCTCTACATCGAGAGTGGCGCAATGAAAAGAAAGACTCTCTCTACATCGGAGAGTGGCGCAATGAAAAGAAAGACTCTCTCTACATAGGAGAGTGGCGCAATGAAAAGAAAGACTCTCTCTACATAGGAGAGCAGCAATGAAAAGAAAGACTCTCTCTACATAGGGAGAGTGGCGCAATGAAAAGAAAGACTCTCTCTACATCGGAGAGTGGCGCAATGAAAAAGAAAGACTCTCTCAACATAGGAGAGTGGCGCAATGAAAAGAAAGAGACTCTCTACATCGGAGAGTGGCGCAATGAAAAGAAAGACTTGGCTCTCTACATAGGAGAGTGGCGCAATGAAAAGAAAGACTCTACATCGGAGAGTGGCGCAATGAAAAGAAATACTCTCTCTACATAGGAGAGTGGCGCAATGAAAAGAAAGACTCTCTCTACATAGGAGAGTGGCGCAATGAAAAGAAAGACTCACTCTACATAGGAGAGTGGCAATGAAAAGAAAGACTCTCTCTACATAGGAGAGTGGCGCAATGAAAAGAAAGACTCTCTCTACATAGGAGAGTGGCGCAATGAAAAGAAAGAGACTCTCTACATCGGAGAGTGGCGCAATGAAAAGAAAGACTCCCTCTACATAGGAGAGTGGCGCAATGAAAAGAAAGACTCTCTCTACATAGGAGAGTGGTGCAATGAAAAGAAAGACTCCCTCTACATCGGAGAGTGGCGCAATGAAAAGAAAGACTCTCACATAGAGAGTGGCGCAATGAAAAAGAAAGACTCTCTACATAGGAGAGTGGCGCAATGAAAATGAAAAGAAAGACTCTCTACATAGGAGAGTGGTGCAATGAAAAGAAAGACTTCTCTACATAGGAGAGTGGCGCAATGAAAAGAAAGACTCTCTACATAGGAGAGTGGCGCAATGAAAAAGAAAGACTCTCTCTACATCGGAGAGTGGCGCAATGAAAAAAAGACTCTCTCATCGGAGAGTGGTGCAATGAAAGGAAAGAGACTCTCTACATAGAGAGTGGCGCAATGAAAAGAAAGACTCTCTCTACATAGGAGAGTGGTGCAATGAAAAGAAAGACTCTCTCTCTACATCGGAGAGTGGCGCAATGAAAAGAAAGACTCTCTACATAGGAGAGTGGCGCAATGAAAAGAAAGACTCTCTACATAGGAGAGTGGCGCAATGAAAAGAAAGACTCTCTCTACATCGGGAGAGTGGCGCAATGAAAAGAAAACTCTCTACATAGGAGAGAAAAGGCGCAAATGAAAAAAAGAAATAACATAGGACTCCCTCTACATAGGAGAGTGGCGCAATGAAAGAAAGACTATCTACATAGGAGAGTGGCGCAATGAAAAGAAAGACTCTCTCTACATAGGAGAGTGGGCGCAATGAAAGAAAGACTCTCTCTACATAGGAGAGTGGCGCAATGAAAAGAAAGACTCTCTACATCGGAGAGTGGCGCAATGAAAAAAGAAATCGGAGAGTGGTGCAATGAAAAGAAGACTCTCTACATAGGAGAGTGGCGCAATGAAAAGAAAGACTCTCTCTCACATGGGAGAGTGGCGCAATGAAAATGAAAGAAACTCTCTACATCGGAGAGTGGCGCAATGAAAAGAAAGACTCTCTCTACATCGGAGAGTGGTGCAATGAAAAGAAAGACTCTCTCTACATCGGGAGAGTGGCGCAATGAAAAAGAAAAACTCTCTCTACATCGGAGAGTGGCGCAATGAAAAGAAAGACTCTCTCTACATCGGAGAGTGGCGCAATGAAAAGAAAAAGACTCCCTCTACATAGGAGAGTGGCGCAATGAAAAGAAAGAAATAGGAGACTCCAATCTACATAGGAGAGTGGCGCAATGAAAAGAAAGACTCTCTCTACATAGGAGAGTGGCGCAATGAAAAGAAAGACTTCTCTACATAGGAGAGTGGCGCAATGAAAAGAAAAGACTCCCTCTACATAGGAGAGTGGCGCAATGAAAAGAAAACTCTCTCTACATGGGAGAGTGGCGCAATGAAAAGAAAGACTCTCTCATAGGAGAGTGGCGCAATGAAAAGAAAGACTCTCTCTACATAGGAGAGTGGCGCAATGAAAAGAAAGACTCTCTACATAGGAGAGTGGCGCAATGAAAGAAAGAGACTCTCTACATCGGAGAGTGGCGCAATGAAAGAAAAAGACTCTCTACATAGGAGAGTGGCACAATGAAAAGAAAGACTCTCTACATGGGAGAGTGGTGCAATGAAAAAGAAAGACTCCTCTACATCGGAGAGTGGCGCAATGAAAAGAAAGACTCACTCTCTCTGAAATCGGAGAGTGGCGCAATGAAAGAAAAAACTCTCTCTAAAGTGGAGAATGTTGCAAAAATGAAAAGACCTCTCTCTACATAGGAGAGTGGCGCAATGAAAAGAAAGACTCTCTCTACATAGGAGAGTGGTGCAATGAAAAGAAAGACTCCTCTACATCGGAGAGTGGCGCCATGAAAAGAAAGATTCTCTCATACATAGAGAGTGGTGCAATGAAAAGAAAGACTCCTCTACATCGGAGAGTGGCGCAATGAAAAGAAAGACTCCTACATAGGAGAGTGGGCACAATGAAAAGAAAGACTCCCTCTACATAGGAGAGTGGTGCAATGAAAAGAAAGACTCCTCTACATAGGAGAGTGGCGCAATGAAAAGAAAGACTCCATCTACATCGGAGAGTGGCGCAATGAAAAGAAAGACTCTCTACATAGGAGACTGGCGCAATGAAAAGAAAGACTCTCTCTACATGGGAGAAAGTGCCGCAATGAAAAAAGAAAGACTCTCTCTACATAGGAGAGTGGTGCAATGAAAAGAAGGACTCTCTCTACATCGGGAGAGTGGCGCAATGAAAATGAAAAGACTCTCTCTACATAGGAGAGTGGCGCAATGAAAAGAAAGACTCTCTACATCGGAGAGTGGCGCAATGAAAAGAAAGACTCCTCTACATCGGAGAGTGGCGCAATGAAAAGAAAGACTCTCTCATGAAAAATGAAAGAAAGACTCTCTCTACATGGGAGAGTGGCGCAATGAAAATGAAAAGAAAGACTCCCTCTACAAAAAGGAAGACTCACTCTATATCGAGTGGCGCAATGAAAGAAAGACTCTCTCACAAGGGAAGTGGCGCAATGAAAAGAAAGACTCTCTCTACATAGGAGAGTGGCGCAATGAAAAGAAAGACTCTCTCTACATAGGAGAGTGGCGCAATGAAAAGAAAAGACTCTCTACATCGGGAGAGTGGCGCAATGAAAAGAAATGAAAAAGAAAAACTCTCTCTACATAGGAGAGTGGCGCAATGAAAAGAAAAACTCTCTACATAGGGAGTGGTGCAAATGAAAAGAAAGACTCCCTACATCGAGAGTGGCGCAATGAAAAGAAAGACTCTCTACATAGGAGAGTGGCGCAATGAAAAAGAAAGACTCCCTCTACATAAGGAGAGAGTGGCGCAATGAAAAGAAAGAGACTCTCTACAGGGGAGAGTGGCGCAATGAAAAGAAAGACTCTCTCTACATAGGAGAGTGGCGCAATGAAAAAAGAAAGAGAGTGGCGCAATCTCTCTACATAGGAGAGTGGCGCAATGAAAAGAAAGACTCTACATAGGAGAGTGGTGAAAAGAAAGACTCTCTACATATGGCGCAATGAAAAGAAAGACTCCCTCTACATCGGAGAGTGGCGCAATGAAAAGAAAGACTCTCTCGGACATGAAAAGGAGAGTGGCGCAATGAAAAGAAAATCTCTCTACATAGGAGAGTGGCGCAATGAAAAGAAAAACTCTCTCTACATAGGAGAGTGGCGCAATGAAAGAAAGACTCCCTCTACATAGGAGAGTGGCGCAATGAAAAGAAAAGACTCTCTCTACATAGGAGAGTGGCGCAATGAAAAGAAAGACTCTCTCTACATGGGAGAGTGGCGCAATGAAAAGAAAGAGAGTGGCTACATAGGAGAGTGGCGCAATGAAAAGAAGGACTCTCTCTACATCGGAGAGTGGCAAAAAGAAAGACTCACTCTAATGGAAGTGGCGCAATGAAAGAAAAGACTCCTCTACATCGGAGAGTGGCGCAATGAAAAGAAAGACTCTCTCTACATGGCGCAATGAAAGGAGAGAGTGGCGCAATGAAAAGAAAGACTCTCTCTACATAGGAGAGTGGCGCAATGAAAAAAGAAAGACTCCCTCTACAAAAGAAAGATCGGAGAGTGGCGCAATGAAAAGAAAGACTCTCTCTACATGGAGAGTGGCGCAATGAAAGAAAGACTCTCTCTACATAGGAGAGTGGTGCAATGAAAAAAAAGGACTCTCATCTGAAAAGAAACATGGGAGAGTGGCGCAATGAAAAGAAAGACTCCCTCTACATCGGAGAGTGGCGCAATGAAAAGAAAGACTCTCTACATCGGAGAGTGGCGCAATGAAAAAAAAGACTCTCTCTACAGGAGAGTGGCGCAATGAAAAGAAAGACTCTCTACATAGGGAGAGTGGCGCAATGAAAAAGACTCCCTCTACATGGGAGAGTGGCGCAATGAAAAGAAAGACTCTCTCTACATTGGAGAGTGGTGCAATGAAAAGAAGGACTCTCTACATAGGAGAGTGGCGCAATGAAAAGAAAGACTCTCTCTACATAGGAGAGTGGTGCAATGAAAAGAAAGACTCCCTCTACATCGGAGAGTGGCGCAATGAAAAGAAAGACTCTCTCTACATAGGAGAGTGGCGCAATGAAAAGAAAGACTCTCTCTACATAGGAGAGTGGCGCAATGAAAAGAAAGACTCTCTCTACATAGGAGAGTGGCGCAATGAAAAGAAAGACTCTCTCTACATAGGAGAGTGGTGCAATGAAAAGAAGGACACTCTCTACATAGGAGAGTGGCGCAATGAAAAGAAAGACTCTCTACATAGGAGAGTGGTGCAATGAAAAGAAAGACTCTCTCTACATCGGAGAGTGGCGCAATGAAAAAGAAAGACTCTCTACATCGGAGAGTGGCGCAATGAAAAGAAGACTCTCTCTACATAGGAGAGTGGCGCAATGAAAAGAAAGACTCTCTCTACATAGGAGAGTGGCGCAATGAAAAGAAAGACTCTCTCTGGCATAAAAGAGAAAGTGGTGCAATGAAAAGAAGGACTCTCTCTACATAGGAGAGTGGCGCAATGAAAAGAAAAGACTCTCTCTACATCGGAGAGTGGCGCAATGAAAAGAAAGACTCTCTCTCTACATCGGAGAGTGGCGCAATGAAAAGAAAGACTCTCTCTACATAGGAGAGTGGCGCAATGAAAAGAAAGACTCTCTCTACATAGGAGAGTGGCGCAATGAAAAGAAAGACTCTCTCTACATAGGAGAGTGGCGCAATGAAAAGAAGGACTCTCTCTACATAGGAGAGTGGCGCAATGAAAAGAAAGAGACTCTCTCTACATAGGAGAGTGGGGTTGCATGAAAAGAAAAACTCTCTCTACATCAGAGAGTGGCGCAATGAAAAGAAAGACTCCCTCTACATCGGAGAGTGGCGCAATGAAAAGAAAGACTCTCTCATAGGAGAGGGCGCAATGAAAAGAAAGACTCTCTCTACATCGGAGAGGCGCAATGAAAAAAGAAAGACTCTCTCTACATAGGAGAGTGGTGCAATGAAAAGAAAGACTCCTCTACATCGGAGAGTGGCGCAATGAAAAGAAACTCTCTCATAGGAGAGTGGTGCAATGAAAAGAAAGACATAGGAGAGTGGCGCAATGAAAAGAAAGACTCTCTCTACATAGGAGAGTGGCGCAATGAAAAGAAAGACTCTCTACATCGGAGAGTGGCGCAATGAAAAGAAAGACTCTCTCTACATAGGAGAGTGGCGCAATGAAAAGAAAGACTCTCTCTACATAGGAGAGTGGCGCAATGAAAAGAAAGACTCTCTCTACATCGGAGAGTGGCGCAATGAAAAAAGAAAGACTCTCATAGGAGAGTGGTGCAATGAAAAGAAAGACTCTCTCTACATAGGAGAGTGGCGCAATGAAAAGAAGGACTCTCTCTACATAAGAGAGTGGCGCAATGAAAAGAAAGACTCTCTCTGGCGCAATGAAAAGAAAGAGTGGTGCAATGAAAAGAAAGACTCTACATAGGAGAGTGGCGCAATGAAAAGAAAGACTCTCTACATCAGGAGAGTGGCGCAATGAAAAGAAAGACTCCCTCTACATAGGAGAGTGGCGCAATGAAAAAGAAAGACTCTCTACATAGGAGAGAGTGGCGCAATGAAAAGAAAGACTCTCTCTACATAGGAGAGTGGCGCAATGAAAAGAAAGACTCTCTCTACATAGGAGAGTGGTGCAATGAAAAGAAAGACTCCCTCTACATCGGAGAGTGGCGCAATGAAAAGAAAAGACTCTCTCTACATGGGAGAGTGGCTGAAAAGAAGGACTCTCTACATAGGAGAGTGGCGCAATGAAAAGAAAGACTCTCTCTACATAGGAGAAAGTGGCGCAATGAAAAAGAAAGACTCTCTACACAGGAGGAGTGGCGCAATGAAAAGAAGGACTCTCTCTACATAGGAGAGTGGCGCAATGAAAAGAAAAGACTCTCTCTACATGGAGAGTGGCGCAATGAAAGAAAGACTCTCTCTCTCTACATAGGAGAGTGGCGCAATGAAAAGAAAGACTCTCTCTACATGGGAGAAAAAGTGGCGCAATGAAAAGAAAGACTCTCTCATCGGAGATAGCGAATGAAAAGAAAGACTCTCTCATGGGAGAGTAACGAAAAGAAGGACCTGGAGAGTGGCGCAATGAAAAGAAAGACTCTCTACATCGGAGAGTGGCGCAATGAAAAGAAGAGACAATGGAAATGAAAAGAAAGACTCTCTCTACATGGGAGAGTGGCGCAATGAAAATGAAAGAAAGACTCTCTCTACATAGGAGAGTGGCGCAATGAAAAGAAAGCAAGAAAGACTCTCTCTACATCGGAGAGTGGCGCAATGAAAAGAAAGACTCCCTCTACATCGGAGAGTGGCGCAATGAAAAGAAGGACTCTCTCTACATAGGAGAGTGGCGCAATGAAAAGAAAGACTCTCTACATAGGGAGAGTGGCGCAATGAAAAGAAAGACTCTCTCTACATAGGAGAGTGGCGCAATGAAAAAGAAAGACTCTCTCTACATCCATGGCGCAATGAAAAAGAAAGACTCCCTCTACATCGGAGAGTGGCGCAATGAAAAGAAAGACTCTCTCAACATAGGAGAGTGGTGCAATGAAAAGAAGGACTCTCTCTACATAGGAGAGTGGCGCAATGAAAAGAAAGACTCTCTCATCTGGCACATAGGAGAGAGTGGCGCAATGAAAAAGAAAAAGAGGACCTCTACATCGGAAAGTGGCGCAATGAAAAGAAAGACTCTCTACATGGCGGAAAAGAAAGACTCTGGAGAGTGGCAATGAAAGAAAGAAAGACTCTCTCTCTACATAGGAGAGTGGCGCAATGAAAAAGAAAGACTCTCTACATCGGAGAGTGGCGCAATGAAAGAAAAGACTCTCTCTACATGGGAGAGTGGTGCAATGAAAAGAAGGACTCTCTCTACATAGGAGAGTGGCGCAATGAAAGAAAGACTCTCTCTACATAGGAGAGTGGCGCAATGAAAAGAAAGACTCTCTACATAGGAGAGTGGTAATGAAAAGAAGGACTCTCTCTACATGGAGAGTGGCGCAATGAAAAGAAAGACTCTCTACATGGGAGAGTGGCGCAATGAAAAAGAAAGACTCTCTCTACATAGGAGAGTGGTGCAATGAAAAGAAGGACTCTCTCTACATAGGAGAGTGGCGCAATGAAAAGAAAGACTCTCTACATAGGAGAGTGGCGCAATGAAAAGAAAGACTCTCTCTACATAGGAGAGTGGTGCAATGAAAAGAAGGACTCTCTCTACATAGGAGAGTGGCGCAATGAAAAGAAAGACTCTCTCTACATCGGAGAGTGGTGCAATGAAAAGAAAGACTCCCTCTACATCGGAGAGTGGCGCAATGAAAAGAAAGACTCCCTCTACATCGGAGAGTGGCGCAATGAAAAGAAAGACTCCCTCTACATAGGAGAGTGGCGCAATGAAAAGAAAGACTCTCTCTACATAGGAGAGTGGCGCAATGAAAAAGAAAGACTCTCTCTACATAGGGAGAGTGGCGCAATGAAAAGAAAGACTCTCTCTACATCGGAGAGTGGCGCAATGAAAAGAAAGGACTCTGAAAAAAAAGACTCTACATAGGAGAGTGGCGCAATGAAAAGAAAGACTCTCTACATAGGAGAGTGGCGCAATGAAAGAAAGACTCTCTCTACATAGGAGAGTGGCGCAATGAAAAGAAAGACTCTCTACATCGGAGAGTGGCGCAATGAAAAGAAAGACTCTCTACATACAGGAGAGTGGCGCAATGAAAAAGAACATAGAGAGTCAATGAAAAAAAGACTCTACATAGGAGAGTGGCGCAATGAAAAGAAAGACTCTCTCTACATAGGAGAGTGGCGCAATGAAAAGAAGGACTCTCTACATAGGAGAGTGGCGCAATGAAAAGAAAGACTCTCTACATAGGAGATGGCGGAAAGACTCCCTCACATAGGAGAGTGGCGCAATGAAAAGAAAGACTGAAAATCGAAAGAAAAGAAAGACTCTCTACATAGAGTGGTGCAATGAAAAGTCCCTCTGGAGTGGCGCAATGAAAAGAAGAGACTCTCTCTACATAGGAGAGTGGCGCAATGAAAAGAAAGACTCTCTCTACATAGGAGAGTGGCGCAATGAAAAGAAAGACTCTCTCTACATAGGAGAGTGGCGCAATGAAAAGAAAGACTCTCTCTACATAGGAGAGTGGCGCAATGAAAAGAAAGACTCCCTCTACATAGGAGAGTGGCGCAATGAAAAGAAAGACTCTCTACATAGGAGAGTGGCGCAATGAAAAGAAAGACTCTCTACATAGGAGAGTGGCGCAATGAAAAGAAAGAGACTCTCTACATCGGAGAGTGGCGCAATGAAAAGAAAGACTCTCTCTACATAGGAGAGTGGCGCAATGAAAAGAAAGACTCTCTACATTGGAGAGTGGCAATGAAAAGAAAGGAGAGTGGCTCCTCTCTACATAGGAGAGTGGCGCAATGAAAAGAAAGACTCTCTCTACATCGGAGAGTGGCGCAATGAAAAGAAAGACTCTCTCTACAGCAATGAAAAAGAAAGACTCCCTCTACATAGGAGAGTGGCGCAATGAAAAGAAAGACTCTCTACATAGGAGAGTGGCGCAATGAAAAGAAAGACTCTCTCTACATAGGAGAGTGGCGCAATGAAAAGAAAGACTCCTCTCACATAGGAGAGTGGCGCAATGAAAAGAAAGACTCTCTCTACATAGGAGAGTGGCGCAATGAAAAGAAAGACTCTCTACATAGGAGAGTGGCAATGAAAAAGAAAGACTCTCTACATCGGAGAGTGGCGCAATGAAAAGAAAGACTCTCTCTACATCGGAGAGTGGCGCAATGAAAAGAAAGACTCTCTCTACATAGGAGAGTGGCGCAATGAAAAGAAGGACTCTCTCTACATGGGAGAGTGGCAATGAAAAAAAGAGACTCTACTCTCTCTCTCTACATCGGAGAGTGGCGCAATGAAAAGAAAGACTCTCTCTACATAGGAGAGTGGCGCAATGAAAAGAAGACTCAGAGGAGAGTCTCTACATCGGAGAGTGGCGCAATGAAAAGAAAGACTCCCTCTACATAGGAGAGTGGCGCAATGAAAAGAAAAGACTCTCTCTACATAGGAGAGTGGCGCAATGAAAAGAAGGAGACTCTCTACATAGGAGAGTGGCGCAATGAAAAGAAAGAGACTCTCTACATAGGAGAGTGGCGCAATGAAAAAGGACTCTCTACACAGGAGAGTGGCTCAATGAAAAGAAAGACTCCTCTACATAGGAGAGTGGCGCAATGAAAAGAAAGAGACTCCTCTACATCGGAGAGTGGCGCAATGAAAAGAAAGACTCTCTCTACATAGGAGAGTGGCGCAATGAAAAGAAAGACTCTCTCTACATAGGAGAGTGGCGCAATGAAAAAGAAGGACTCTCTCTACATCGGAGAGTGGCGCAATGAAAAAAAAGACTCTCTACATAAGAGAGTGGCGCAATGAAAAGAAAGACTCTCTCTACATAAGAGAGTGGCGCAATGAAAAGAAGACTCTCTCTCTACATAGGAGAGTGGCGCAATGAAAAGAAAGACTCTCTCTACATAGGAGAGTGGCGCAATGAAAAGAAAGACTCTCTACATAGGAGTGGTGCAATGAAAAGAAAGACTCTCTACATGGAAAATGAAAGAAAGAAAAGAGACTCTCTACATCGATGAGTGGCGCAATGAAAGAAAGTCTCCCTCTACATAGGAGAGTGGCGCAATGCAAAGCAAAAAGAAGGCTGTCCATAATTTCAAGTCTTGAACAATGTTATATTTCGAAGGCTGACTACCATGGAAAAAAAGAAAAGCCCTTTTTACTTACTTCGAATATTAATTGTCAATGGATCTTACCTCTCTATTCTTTTCTTTTTATGTGTTATGTCCTTTCAGGACGTAGGCGATCATGGATCGTTCCTCTATCATATGCAGCTCTAGAAGCACCCAAAATCTGTTGGCGCTGGTTGAATTCGGAGTTAGATATTTCCTAGTTTAGATAACATTCAAAGACAAAAGAGTTCAATTTGTCTTGCTATTTAACAGATTATATATATATATATATATATATATATATATATATATATATATATATATATGGTGCGTTGGGTAAATTGTCGCTATTTTATATTTTTAATTTCGCGCATGCGGTTGTTTTTGATTTTGTCAACTGTACAGTATAGTTCGGTACGGTCAGTGAGAAAAAGACCAGTGACGCAATTCCCACCGCCAAACATTTGAAACGACATACTATACAGTTTGGCATTCGCGTCGAAAGCTTCAATACGAACATTTCAGAGTGTTTGGTCGTCAATCAGTGCAGAGGATTCGGAAAAAAGTTGAATGTGTTAATACTGATTACGAAGGTACGGCATCTCGGAACACTTATTCTGATCGTTCTGATAAGAAAGGAATTGCCGAATTTGTTGGTGAGGACCTCAGACTCAACACGGAGACCTACATCAAGTACCTTTAGAAGGTAGTGTTGCCCTGGGTCAAGAGAGTGGCTGATAGAAGACCCTATGTTTGGCAACAATAATCTGCAACATGCCACAAAAGCAGGTGAACCCAGTCATGGTTTTCTGACAATTTCTGCGACCACATCACCCTTTAAATTTGGTCAGCTCACTCCTACCAACAAAACATCTTTCTGTTATCAACGAGCAGACTGGGATTCGTTCCGAGATTTCCTTCGTGATAGCCCCTGGGATGTGGTCTTTAAGCTCCCCGTTCAAGAATGCGTTTCCGAGGACTCCTCCTGGGTAAAAGCTGGAATCGAGGCTTTCATCTCCGCTAGGAAATATAAGGTTAAATCGCGCTTCTCCCCTTTGGTTCTCTGTTGCTTGCTCTACTGCCATTGCGCATAGGAATAACTTCTTCCACCTATATCGTAGTGACATGTCAGATTGCAACAGACGTCTCTTTGACTCAGCCTGTAACGAGTGCAAGCGCGTCCTCAAGGAAGCAAAGTCACTATTTGCCTGATAGAATGTAACAACGTATTGCGTCTTGCAATTCGGCTCCAAGGAATATTGGCGTCTCTGCAAGAGCGTACTTAACAACAGCAAACCTGCAATACCTGCTTTGTTCAACCAATTTGAGGTCCTGATCTCCTCATCTGATAAGGCTGAGTGCTCTGCTCGGAAATCTTCCAACTCATCGCTAGACTTATCCGGGGTACGCACACTCGATTTTCCCCTAGAACCGAGGCTCTATTGAGTGGTTTGCACATAACCATGAGCATCATCTCAAAATTAGACTCCCATAAAACTAGCGGTGGCGACGGGATACCAGTCATTATCTTGAAGAAATGTGCTCCTGAACTGGCCTCTGCCCTCTCCAAATTATATAATTACTGCCTCAATGAATCTTGCTTTCCAGCCTGTTGGAAGTCCTCATCTATTGTAACTGCCTTTAAAAACTCTGGAGATCCTTTTGACCCATCCTTTTGACCCATCTAATTACCGCCCCATCAGTCTCCTACCTTGAGTCTTTGAGGCTTTAATCAAGACCGATGTGGTTAATCACCTTATATCCTATGATCTGCTCTCTTATAAGCAATATGGTTTCCGCTTTACCCGTTCTTCAGCTGATGTGCTCACGGCCATAACTGAAATTGTTTACCAAGCTCGTGCCGTCGCTCTTAGATATATCTAAAGAATTTGATAGGGTCTGGCATGACGGTCTCCTTCGTAAAATTAAGAGATAAGTTTCAGGTTTATTATTTGACTTAATACGATCATTCCTGTGAAACCGTGTCGTCCTTAACAGATTCTCCTTCAGTTCCTTTCCTACGAACGCATGTGTTCCCCAAGGCCCTATCCTGGGCCCTACTCTGTTCCTTATCTTCATTCCCGATCTTTCCGATGTCATCAGTTCCCAACGAGGCATCTATGCTGACGGCACTTCTATTTACGCCTGCCTCAGTTGCAAGCCTGTTATAGCTGACAAAACTAACCTGGCCATTAGTCTTGAAAAGGACCACCAATCTGTTGTAGACTGGGGCAGGAATTGGCTGGTTAACTTTAATGCCTCTAAAACAAAACTGCTCTCTATTACTCACCACAGGGAACCATCCCTGCCACCTATTAGGATGTCTGATGCTCAACTCCATGAGAGCACCTCTTTGCGACTGCTTGGTCTCACACTGTCCGCTGACCTGAGATGGAACAATTACATTGAATCAATTGCTTCATCCACCGCAAGGAAAGTTGGTTCCTACAAATTCAAAAAAGTCTTTTTGAATTTGTAGG